TTTTTTTTTTTAAGGAATGGGTTGTAATTTGTTGAAAGTGTAAAACATCGTAAATGCTAACATGTAAAGTTAAGCAAACCAACTTTGCACTCATAACCGATTAAAAAACACCAATCAATCTTTTTTAAGCAAACCAACTAATGTGGCAATTCTGATTGTTTTGATTGGTTGTATGTGTAAAGTTGTGTTGGACGGTCAATCCAGTGCTTTCCCACGACAAGAATAATAAAATCATTTCGGAATAAAAAAAATCGAATTAATTTTTGTTCCAAAGTGTTATTTTCGTAGGAGCAAATTCATCCATCCTTCAGACTCAGGAGCAAATTCAGCGTATTTCGCAGTCAGAATTCGGCTTGATGCTTCAGATGTGATGCAAGCAAAAGGAAGGGACAATTGTGCTTATTTTTAACTTTCGTGTGAACTATTTCCATTCATGCGAATAATACAAAGACAGAACAAGTGCAAATAATCATGAAGCATCTGGAGAGACAAAATTCAGCAAGACATGATTGGATTATTTAGTAGTCTGTCCACCTCTTATTTCATGTTTATTTTGCAACCTCTTTTGTAAAATTCAGTTACCAAAACATAATTGCAATTAGTGGTTGCATTTACTTTTATTTTCCAAGAGTTTCAGAATCAAAACCTGCATCATGTACTAAGCCCACATAAAGAGGACACGAAAATGATATGAAAGGCAGAATATTTTGGTTGGAAAAATTTTTACACTGTGTATTTTGACCAAGATTTATCTCCTCTTTGAGTTCTTGGATTAGAACTTTTGTCCTGAATCTTCTCAATGACTTCCTTACCATATACTAGTGTAAAAACAAAAATAATAATAATAGGGAGAAGAATATGAGGCCGGGAGAAGAAGAGTGAGTCGAGGAGAAGAGGGAGGCGCTGGGAGGCTTCTGGCAGCTGAGAAGGAGATATTAAATTCCATGCTTTAGTGATGAACTATCATGGTATCTTCTCATAATGAAACCTTTTATCATAGGATGGTAAAATAGCAGTGACAACAATTCACCGACCATCATGTAGACTCTTCCAATAATACGGCAAGTTGATCCTTTATGAGGGAGTTTGATTTACGTTGTAAAAGCATCATGAGAAAAGAATAACTTTCAATTTATAGGATGTTTACCATTTATTGCCATGAATCCAGCAGAGTTTCTGACTGCAATACCTTGCTAATGGAAACATAAAGGATGTTTGCTAATACCATCAGAGTTAGACGATGGTATAAGTTTGAGAAAACTATCAGTCCCGGCAATATAATTGAAAACAATCAGTTTAGGTATGGTAAATTTTGGTTCAAAACCAAAACTGAAGCGGAACCGTTCTGGTTCTGGTTCAGTCAGAGTTACACCAAACTGGTTCTAGACACCGAACAAGTTTCAATTTAACAATCAAAACTTGAGCTTTTGTAACCCCACGAAGGTCAAACCTTTGTCTAACAGTGTATTATACTAAAATTTATGTCTCTCAATCTGTGTAAACAGAAATTTTTCTGCAACACATTCAAAACACAGTAACTAACTTGTGTCAAATGATAAAAGTGTCAAGAAGTTGGTTTAGGGTCTTAAATATCAGATTACCTACTCCAAAAAGAAGTCTTGTGAAAAGGGGGATGGGACGCCTCATGGAAAATGTGAGCAATTGGTATCATACCTTCAAAAGCAATCGCAGCCACACCTAGACCATGTAAACAATCACCTGCTTTTTATGTCTCATGGCAACAGACAACAATGTCAAATTGAACAAAATTGCATTGGTCAGTGCAAAAGGAATACAGCATCATCATATGACACTTGAGTTCATTAACTGCTTTTTATGGCTCACCAAAGTTTCTGAATTCCCATTAATAATTGGAATTATAATATATGTCTCTCTCATATTTTCTTTTGAGATAAAGTTCAGCCAGGTTATGCCAATATGTAGATAAATGTGACATATTAGAGAGAATCATAACCTTTGGCGTGTGATCTTGACAGAGAGAAAGAGCAATTAGTTGGAGTTTCTTGCCTATTTGGTTTTACTATTTCACTTGATGATCTTCATAGGACTTAATTTTATTGATACCAACTTGCTGTGGATAGAAACAGTACATATATTTAGGATAAACTTATTTCAATTTAATAACAAAAATTCTATTTACAATGGCAAATAACTTAAATACATGGGTCAATCACTATTTATTGTCGGCATAGAAATCTTGAAACCATTAGTTCTCAGTTGGTTTTACAATTTCACTTGATGATCTTCATAACACTCCAGCACTCGAAACCCTTCGAACAATACCCCTTTAAGGTTCTAAGCATATTCCTCTCAGACAAAAGGAGCAAAATTTATGCAGAAAAAGTATTAAACCTATAACATGCACTTCTGATGCACTGTTTTTTCACTTTATTAGTTCTCAGCTTGGGAAAATTATCATAATTTAGTCCATTTTCCCAATGCTCATACCATTTCAATATTTCATTAATGAGTACGAAATTTAGTCATATTGTTTTGGAAATGAAAATTATGCAGCAAAACAAAACAAAAAATATGTACCAGTCATTCATTCTTGTTGTAACTCTAATTCCTTTCACTGTTCATTAGTAAATTCTACCAATAAGCTCTACTTAAATCACTATTTTCCGAAAAATAAGCACTCATTCCATTCACCTCCTTATTTTAGTCTTTAAAGACTTTGCTATTTACAAATGACAAGCATTGCAATTAAATTAAATAACGATAAAGAGGAAAACGGCTTACATTTTATTTTAAAATGACATGATAATCTTTAATTTCCATTAATCAAACATTAACACATCTTAGTTTGAAAATAAAAGGAGGCAACAGTTAAATTGATGAAAATAAGCTCACTTAAATCAAGACTGAGTGACATATCTCAAAGCTAATCATGGTACATATTTTGTTCACTTTATAATGTATTCTGAAAAACAAGAGGCAAGTATTAGAAAAATCATGTCGCTTAGACATTTCAAACATACCTAAATCATAATTTAGAACTTGGAACATCAAAACACAAATCATCTAAAAACTAAAAAAATGAAAGGCTAAAAGCCTCAAACAAACAAATAAATGAAAAATGTGTAGAAAAATACTAATAACTACAATTTCTCAAGAGGTAGACGCAATTGAACATTAACTAACAATGATCCATGAAATACATAGTAATCAGAACAAATGCAAAAAAAAATAATAACATAAAGATTGTAGTTTAATCTCGTGCTCAAATAACATAACACCACATCTATATTTTAGCATTAAGACCAAGGTGATAACAAACTCTCAACATAGACCTCAGGAGCACCATCACTTAGGTTATAAGCACAGTTATATTGAAGCTTAAACATATCATCCTTTGGATCATAGACAACCAACTTCTTAGACCAACTCCCGTTAGATTCAAGCAACACTTGCTCATCCTCAAAAATATATACTACCTTGGTCAAAGCATAAGACTTACTAGGACCCCACATGTAAAATGGATCTTCCATGTAAGATACAGTGAACAATTTAATCCAAGACTCTTTATTTCCATATTCCTTCATAATCCAAACATCATGATCGGAAATCAAGCCCAAGCAATCCCTTAACACACCCAAAGTCAAGTAATTGAAATCTACCTCTCCAAATTCAGGTAGTAAAACCTCTTGGTAAGACACATTTCCCAAATCAAGAGAAACAATAAAACATGGACTTTCTCTTAGACCAACTTTAGAAGCCAACCAGTTAATAGTGCCACCCACAAATTTCCCTGATAGCTCATACGGGATACAACCAAAAGGAAACTCTTGAATAGTTATCCAAAATTTTGTACCCAATGTATGAACCTTCACTTCAGTTTTGTCAACTACATCACCATTATTAAACCATACAGAGAATCCTAAAACAACCACCACCTTGTAATTATCCATAATAGGATCGTATCCGAAGCCAAATGTCATCCTAGTGTCACTAATCGCATTTGGCTTTTGAAAAGAGGGCAATTCCTTAAATTTTCTAATTGAAGGGTTCCACAATAGAATGAAACCTTCATCGTAGAAGTGTGCAAGACAGAGGATACCATGACAAGAACCAACAATGTAGCATGAACTGTTTGGAGTATAATTGTTCGGATTGTACTCCATCCGCGTGACATTCGTGAACATGGTGGAGAAATTAGAGTGGAGCGGGTAAGATGTGAGAATGTACTTGTTAGAGGGATCGTAGTATCTTACAAAATGAATGTGACGCGTGGTTGACATGCTAAGGTGCTTCTTGGTAAAACTGGTATCAGTGATTAGAGAATTCCATGACTTACAGACGCATCGAAGTTGTAGGAGTAACTTCACTGGGAGCCTACAAAGTATTTCTTGAATGAGGTCAAAAGGAAGAGTGGGAAGTGGCAGCACGTGAAATGAATGGTTGGATGAGTGTGTAGGTGGCGATGATGTTATGGTTAATATTGAGAGCTGCTTGTTGATGGCATCTATTTCTTCACCTTGACTCTGAATTAAATGGAAATATATGTTAGAAGTTATTTTGAAAAAAAAACACAACATCAACAATTTGGACAATACATTACCACTTCATCCCAAGGTTGATCGGTCACTTGGTCCGTATATGTCTTAAGAATAGAAGTGTCATTGAGACAACCGGAAAATCCATTTACATCCGCATCATCTCTTATATCTTGAACAACATTCTGATGGGGATCCTCTATTTCCTGACATGACTCATCTACAACTTGCTGCTTTGAAGAAGTAGCATGTTTATATCCACGTCGACGTGCAGACGCGGTTGGTCTAACACGTACTTTTGTATATGGCCGCACTATACCTGCACATTTAGTTAAGGAAAATCAGATAAAGAAATTACATGTACATAATTCAGTTCACGTATTTATGTGAAATGACATATTGCGGAAATAAAACCAAAACTTATAGAAAACGAGCATGATCAGAAATATTCAACAAAACGAAGTATAAATTATATAATAGTATATATAAAACACAAATTGCAAAAATAAAATAAAAATCATGAACAAGAATTGAGGAGTTACAGATTTTTTACCTTTCAAGGGGGAGAAAGCTAGCTCTACAATCGAGAGCTGCTTGTTGATGTCATCTCTTTCCTCACCTCGACTCTGAATTAAATGAAAATATATTTGTTAAAGGTTATTTTGAAAACAAGCACAACAACAAATTTTGACAACGCATTACCACTTCATCCCAAAGTCCACCGGCCACATGGTCCGTATATGTCTTAAGAACAAGAGTGTCAATGGGACCATCAGGAAATCCGTTTACATCCACGTCATCAGCTCCAATATCTTGGATAACATACAGACGGGGATCCTCTAATTCTTGACACGGCTCCTCTACAACTTGCTGTTCTGAAGAAGTAGCATGTTTGTAGCCACGTCGACGTGCAGACGCAGTTGGCCTAATACGCTCTTTGTAAGTGGTATATCTGCGCACCATACCTGCAAGTTAAATTAAGCAAATCTGAAATATTTAACGTTCACCCTTGCGAAAAAATCCAGAAAACCAACACTTACAAAAAACGAATGCGAAAACATAATAAAAAAAAATCAATAAAGCCAAGTCTAAAACATAAAATCGCATAAATACACTTCAAATTGCCAAAAGAAACAAAAATAAAATCCGTGAAGGGAAATGATGATTTACACATTTGTTTACCTTTTTAAGGAGAGAAAGCTTGCTCTACGAAAGTGGGGTGTAAAATGATAAGATGAAAGGTGAAAGGGTTTGGGTTATACGTGATGAGAGAAGGAGATTGACATTTGGAAACTTAATATCAATTCAAGGGTTACATAGAAGATGGCCATGGCTACATGACGCCATTTCTGACCGTTACAAATCAGGGTTTCATTTCAAAAAAAGAGAGCACGTTTATAAAAAGGGTGCAAAGAGCGTCATGTATTTTTTTATTTTTTTAAGTTTAATTACCAAAATTATCACTATTTTTTTTTAATGAAATTTTAATTCTTAATTTTTAAAAATCACTAGTAAAAAAAGACCTGTGTTTTTTAATCATAAGTAACATTGCGATAATTATATAAAAAATAATTACATCGTTAACATTGTACAATGTTTATAGATATTAAATGAAAATTATAAGTATTAATGTCATGTTTCTATTAAATATTTTTTGTATACTAGCAAAAAATATTTTTCTCTTACATACTAAAATTATAAGTAAGAATATTTGTGATTCTCAAATGTAACAAACTCAATAAAGCATATTTATATTTTTCGATGACAACAATAATATAACAAAAATTCTTTTTTATTTTTAACTTTAATAACACCAACAATATAACATTATTATATAAAAATTTATATAAGGGTATAATTGAAATAATGAAAAAGTCAGCCAAAAATGCCTTATTTTCTTTATATATAAAATATACAAAAATTTGTTAAATAGTTGAGAAAGTCGATATGAAGATCGGTGAGTTTTTCAGGTTGTAAATTTGGGAGAAACGAAGGCAGGAGAGGGAGGAGGGTCAGGTGTAAGCCGTAATGAGGCACCGGTGGCAGTGTTGGTGAATACGAAACAACAACAGCATCAGCCTGGTTCTAAACACAACTATGTTCCAGTTTTTAATACTCGGAAGATCGACAGTGGGCCAAAATGGGTATGGCAGCGACCGTGCAGGCAGGTGAATCGACATTGGCTTTGCAACAGAGAGCTGTCGATGTTGGGTTTCCTCATGTAGTGGGAGGTCTTTAATGACGCGGTGATTCCAATGGGGGGGGATAGAGGAGCTTTCTAATCCCCCCCCCCCCACTACCTTGTGCTTGCCGGTTACCAAGAAACTACGTTGCTAAGCCAACTAGCCTGGTCCCGATCAGGTTCACAACCAAAGATTCCCTTCTATGGTCTCAGGCGCTAGTTTACCAAACAAACTATCAAACATGGCAACAACTTTTGCACGTTGTGCTAGTGGTTTTACTTTCATCGCTACTTGGAACCGATAAACCGCACAGAGACGTTCTCGAACACTCTCTCTACATCATTTTCAAGAGGGTATCTAGGTAAATCCAGCTTCAAGACTGGCTCGAGGAAAGGACCTAGCTAACATCACTTCAATGAAGATTAGCTTCCTAACTAAGATAGAAGTAGTTTGACGGCGAGGAAGAGCTTGAAGAAGGAAGAAGTACCATTGGCGAAGTAGCTTCCTCCAGTCTTAGTATGGGGTGTACCCGAGAAAGATACAAAGCAGCTGAGATCAGAGTGAGTAGCATTGATCTTTCCGTTTGGTCCGACTAATTAATGTAAAAAAGATTCCATCGATCGGTGAAGCACATTAACAGAAGTGTGCACGCTAGCGCTCTACTCTAAGCTTCTAGTTAGCTCAAAAAACCAAAGCTAGAAAGAAAAGGTAGGTTGAATCTTAAAAGTACTCTGTGGGGGTAACTATGTTAAGTTAATATGCTTACTTAATATGCCAGGAACAATTGAAACAAGCCAGACCGGTACAATCTCTCTTTGAGTCCTTACTTAATATGCTTAATATGGTGATACCCCCGATTGTACCAACCTACATACGTCTCTCGTCCATCAATCGGTACTAGTTATTGTAATTTTTATTCCTTGATTTGTCCGATGAGAAATGCGAAACGAAAGAAGGATCCTCCTGCTGGGAATTAGATCCCCCCCTACAAAGATGAATTGATCGATTCATCGGATCCTAAGTCGATACGGTCAAGAGGGGAAATAGTTTTAATAGTTGCTTCAAGTGGTATAGCTGCATTATTAATACCAGGATGTAGAACCGCATATTCGAGATTTGGCCTTCCCTTTATTATCGATGAATGCTCCACGTGTAATGTCAATACCACGTTGGTAGTCCAAGCAAGATTAGTAATATGGGACGAGGCTCCGATGATGCACAAATTTTGCTTTGAAGCACTTTATCATTCTTTCAGATACGTTACGAAGGAGGTGGACAAGAGAAACAAATACATCCCTTTTGGACGTAAAGTCGTTGTATTTGTTGGAGATTTTAGGCAGATATTACCTGTAATTCCTAAAGGCACAAGACCAAAAATCGTTCATGCTACTATCAATTCTTCAAAACTATGGAGTTATTGTGAGGTTCTTACCTTGACTAAGAACATGAGGCTTTTGTCTGGTGCGTCGGTATTAGACATTGAAGCAAAGAGACAATTTTCAGATTGGGTTTTAAGTATAGGCGATGGACGAATAGGGGAAGACAATGAAGTGGACAAGACCATTGCTCTTCCGTCAGATTTGCTCATAGAAAGCGCAGGAGATCCTCTTGCTGCTATTGTTGAAAGCACGTATCCTAACATCTTGGAGAGCATGAGTGACATTAGTTACTTTCTAAATAGAGCTATATTGACAACAAAAAATTCAATAGTCGAGAAGATCAACGACTATATGTTGGACATGGTTCCAGGTGAGGAGAAGCTTTATTTGAGTTATGATTCACCTATTCATCGTAACAGAAACGGTGATCATATTGACGATGTTCATATACCCGAATTCCTCAACACCATCAATGCTTCTGGACTGCCTAATCACAATGTAAGGTTAAAGGTTGGTGTGTCAGTTATGTTGTTGAGAAATATAGATACACGATATGGATTATGCAATATCACTAGGATGGGAAGATACATCATTGAGAGGAGGGTCATTTTCGGAAGTAATGTTGGTGATTAGATTTTTGTATCCAGGCTATCTATATCGCCTTCAGATGTCATGATTCCCTTTAAGTTTCGACAAAGACAATTTCCTTTGACTGTATCATTTGCAATGACAATTATCAAAAGTCAAGGGCAGTCGCTTATTAAACATGTTGGTGTATATCTACCAACACCTGTATTTTCTCACGGACAGTTGTATGTTGCTGTTTCAAGAGTTACATCTAGAGAAGGACTAAAGATATTGATTGCTAATGAAGATGGTCAAGATACCAATGTAACGTCTAATGTGGTATAGGAGGAAGTATTTCGCAATGTGTGATGAAATTACATGCCAATGTACTAAGAATTTCATATTCTTTTACCGAATTATCGATAGAATTATCGAATTTTCTTTTATAATATTTTCAGATTTCATACATTTTATGAAGTGTTTTATTTTGTCTACTATGGATTATCACGTGTTAGTTTTTTCACCGTTACCAATTATATATTGTATTTTATTATTCGTATGGTAATCCCTTTACCATAAACTCAGAGCACGGGTCAAAAATCTAATATAGACTTAATTTTATAGTTTTTATAGTTCATTTGCCGACTAAATTATTAATAAAAAGTTTAAAAAAACTAAAAATTGAAAGGTAACGTTTTTTTTGTTCGAGAGATTTTGAAAGGTAAAGTTAGAACGATTAGAAAAGTATTTTACTACAGCGAAGAATTAGGGACTTCAAATATTGCTAGTTTTGTCTTGATATTTCTCACCGACATATTTCTCACCGCATCAACTTTCCTTTGCAACCATTTCACCTTCAGTTTCATCTGCTTTGCACAAGAGAACTCTATCTGTTGCTATGGCTCCAACAATTGAGAAGGAGGTTAGTAGTAAATATATACCTGATGATATTGTTTTCTCTATTTTATCTAAACTTTCCGTTAAATCTATCAAGAGGTTTTCCTGCGCCTGCAAATCATGGTCTTCTTTGTTTGAAAACCCTAATTTCATAAACAAGTTCCGCAACAATCTGTTGTCAAAATCTCATCCTTTGTACGATGATGCATGTCTCATTCTAAACCATTTTTCGGGTCCTGATTATCATTGGAATGTTTATTTGCTTTCTGGTGATAGATTTGAGAATAAAGTGAAATTGGATTTGCCACCTTCATTACCCATTGAAAATGGTTTTGATTATATTCGTATATTAGGCTATGCTATTAATGGTACTCTTTGTATATTTGACTATCATTCAAATTCAAGAGTTGCATTATGGAACCCTGCTACTCAAGAAGTTAAGGCCATTCCTCCTAGCCATGGAGTCATTCCAAAGGTTACAACTCAATTTCAACTTCATGGATTTGGTTATGACCATGTTAGGGATGACTATAAAGTCATTCAACATGTGAATTATTTTACATTTAATGATGATCCTTGTGATGGTCTAGGCCATGAGCGTTTTTGGGAAATATATAGTCTAAAAAGCAACTCATGGAAGAAAATCAATTTTGATATGCCAACTCGTTACCAGGATTTTGATACTGATGTGTATTTGAATGGGATGTGTCATTGGTGGGGAGGAACAACTGCTGAGGCATATATGGTGTCCTTTAACTGGTGCAATGAGGACTACTTTATTACACCTTCACCCTTAGAAGATTTACCTGGTTGTTTTGATGTTAGCTTGGTTGTGTTAAATGGGTTTGTGGCTATGATATCTAATTATAGAGAGACTAATTCATTCCAAATTTCAATTTTGGGTGAACTTGGTGTCAAGGAATCATGGATTAAACTCTTTGATGTTGAACCCTTGTCTTGCATTGATAGTCCTATTGGAGCATGGAAGAAGGGCAATATATTCTTCAGAAAAGAAAACGGCCAACTGGCTTTATTTGATTTAACTACTGGAGTGACGGAGGAGATTGGTGTCAAAGGAGAAAGGTTTTGGTGTCAGATGGTAATGTACAATTAATTGCTTTTGCAGATGACATGTGAAGTTTTCACAGGTTTGTGACTCCAGCTCTTATTGTCAAGTGGAACTTTATCAAGTTATCAATATGCTTGAAAATTGTTCGTATTATATCTATTATCATGTATAAGAGGAAGAAGCATTTGTCTTGCAGATGTAAATGTTGAAATGAACTTGAAATATCGAACCTGTCATGTTAATTTTGTTTATGGACCTGTGTGTATTTGTTTTGATTTTGTTTGTAAAAATACTGGATATCTTTAGGTTGCCTCAACTATCTAGTTGTTCTTGGTTTATGGGTCAGGAAATTCCATGTTTTGTAGACTTTAGTGAAAAATACCGAATCCAATGTACTGCAAACTTTTTGGTGCCATAAGGCTTGGTGAGTTGGTGTCTCAAAAGATGACAGTCGCACTGTTTACTTTCAACTAGACTGAAGAATATGATAGTGTATTCACTTAGTTTCATTTTGATATTAATCTGATTTAGGTCTTCTCATCTTATTTTCGTTGTTGAACCCTTTTATGTATTATAATCTTCTGGATATTTTTTGTATTAGTTGCATCACTTTTGTTAAATATATTAATCTGGATGTTGTAATATTCATGGTTGGTGAATCTATGTTGCTATTTGATTAAAGTTTATTTAAGACCAATATTCTAAATAACGCCAACCCTGGCTAACACAATTTGAGTTGGCGAGTAGAAGCTATGCACTGGACAACGATTAGTCATTGATTAAAAACTATGTGATACACTGAATCTCAACGATTAGTTGCATTCTATGGTGCAACACACAGTACAAACTTCAAAGTCATCAGAACTGCTACAATTGCTTTGATAAGTAAAAACTACTGCACTATTTTAAAAAGAAAAAAAAGTGACAGAAAAGTTACACTCTTGTAAGTAAGGTTAAATTTTAGAATTGTCACACCCATGTTTATTCATTGAAACAAATGTTGTGTGTGATCTTGGCAATAAAATACATATCTGTATCAATATGCTCATTGCATGTCCACTGATGGAAAAAGTAACTTGCAATCAAGTACATTATTAATTTACTACTATATATTATGACACAGTTAATTTTGAGAATTTAACTAAAAAATTTAACTTAAAAACCATTAAGTATGATTCTACTGTGAAAGAGAACATTCTGATATAGGTCTACAGCTTAAAAAATAAAAACAAAAAAAGCAGATATGTGCACAATAAAAAAAAAATCAATCAATTCAGACTCTATATAGAAATATATATAATAACCTGCTGATAATAAATTTGTTTTTGAGATTGACTTGCTGAAAATAAACGTGTAGAATACCCTTGAAGTTCGTCATTTACAAGTTTGATATTATCTTGGTGGTGTTACAGAAAAAATGGGCTTTTCCACTCAATGGATTTCTTCGATCATTATGATGTGTGTAGGCACTGTCAATTACTCTGTTATTGTTAATCGACCGTGTCCACACACATCATAATTGATCCAACCTTTGTGTGGTGGAGTATTTGCAGTGCTAAATTTGTTCTTCGTCTTTCAAACATTTTGTGCATGCAAAAGGAAATGGAGCATATTCAGTAAAAGTGCATATCGATTATGCATGCAAGAATTGATTGACATGTCGCATTTACGTGTTCCTAGGCAGTGACATCTGATTTGGCAACTCCGTATACCTCCAAAAATAAAGAATTTACTGTGGCATAGTTGCCGATGTTGCTTACCTACACACTTTTACCTTTAGCAGAGAATAGTTAATTGCCCTATATAAACTGTAATTTCTGTACGGATGCAGTAGAGGATAGCCATCACGTTTTGTTTGAGTGTTGTAGTGCTGCGACAGAAGTGTTTTTTTTCCAGACTGTTTTTTCTGCTATAACCCTCAGAAATTCAGCAAAAGAGGAGGGTTTTTTCATGACTGGAGCATATATCTGGCACACACTCAGCTCTTTTTGTATCAATTATGTTTGGAACAACACTTTGGATCCTCAAAATCATGTTTTTACTCGCGCAGAAGAGTTGTTGAGTGCCTGATCTGCTGTTTGAACAATCATTGGAGAAAATTCAATCACATGGTGGAGCGAGGAACATAACATATATTCAAGGTCAACTTGTGAGTTTGCATGACTAACACAATTACTCTAACTTGTCATCAAAATGTATTAAGAGGATGAGGTTTGGATGTGGTGTTGGTGTTGATGCTCAAATGAACGCTTTTGCCTATGGACATTGGAGGAAGTTCGGTGTGAACCAATTTGTGTCTCTTCAGCTTATTTCATTTAATAATTGAAATCTAGATTCAGCTATAGTTATGTGTATTTCATATCATAGCTGTGAATATAATAAATAGAGAATTGTTCCCTTATCTGGTTGATCTTCGGTTTTGTATGGCTGTTTTTCCTTGCTTAATGTGTTAGGACTTAAGCCGATGAGGAGAACCTAAACCAAAAGACTAGTACTTTAGGTGGAAGATGCTGATGATTTAAATACCACATCAAGCACTTGTATCTACTCAATGTAGGACTCCTAATATTGCCACAGTGTAGAACTCCTAACATTGCCATGCCCTTTAAGAACCGACATTACTAAATTGGCACTAGCATGATGGTAGCCCTTTCTTTTTTGGCGGCTTTACTCACCTATCGGTATTCGGTGGAACATCTTAATCCAGCCTATAAGTAGCTCTTTTTGTGGTCCAACTCTCAATGAAAGCATCGATTGTTAGGATGTAATTCCATGATAAGATATCAAACCAAAATACTAGTCCATTAGCTGGAAGAGCCTCGTGGTTTAAATACCACATCAAACACTTTTATCTACTCGACGTGGAACTCTTAACAATATGGTTTCTTTTCTCTTCTGTTGTATAAATATGTAATGGAAGGGTGTTATGTATTTAGTAATGTGGTTACATATCAATCTCTCGGTGTGTTTTGTTTATAGATTGTTTATCTTTTTTGAATTCCTCTATTATATGAAAAAAATTAGAAGTATTTGACTGACAGATTGTACGTTTGAGGGGTCTTCTTGGTACACCTTGTGCAGAGTAGACGCCTTTGGTTTTGTTAATATATACCATTTTTTATTCTTTAAAAAAAAAAACATATAGTGAGCTACTGACGAGAATCACAGTGGCAGTGGTAAATTACGGGTTCGAACTCAAGTTCTCACCCATTGAATATCCTGAAAGCTACCAACTTAGTTGTACTTATGGGACACCGAGGTAGTAATCCTCTATTTGATTTCATTTGATTATCTGTGGCTGCCTGTAAGGGGACTCTAAATGTGCTGAAATCATGTGCAAAATTTCCATCTCTGAAACGTGTTGTATTAACCTCTTCTATCGCTGCGGTTGCGTACAATAAAAAGCCTCAAACTCTCGATGTAGTTGTCGATGAAACTTGGTTTACTGATCATGATTTGTGCAGAGAATCAAACATTTGTGCCTTTCATTTCTTTAATTCCAATTTGGTCCAGCAAATTTTTACTGATTATTGTTTCTATCTTATATGCACTACACAATTACTATTGGACTACAATCACACTTGTCAATGGTTGTTAAACGTGGATCACATAAAACAGCGGTTCGTTCAAATATCAACGATTTGTTCAAATTCTGCTATGGTATAGCCGCTATTTGATAACTTTGAGTACAATGCTAATGCATCGTTCCAATGCCAGCAATGTGTGTAAAATGATTTATCATGTAATGCTCTTTGACTTTTTCTATTTCCTATTGATGCTTTCAGCTGTGGTATGTGGTTTTAAAGAAATTGGCTGAAGATTCTGCATGGAAATTTGTTAGAGAAAACAACATTATTGACATGGTTACTACTAAACCAGCAATGGTCATTGGGCCTCTCTTGCAGCCAGTCCTTAAAACAAGTGCTGCGGCAATTCTACATCTAATCTACTAGTTGGCCGAACTGCGTGAATGAAGATCGACGGTGTTTAGTCTTTTACTTGTGTTTCTTTAATCTTTTGCTACTAGTTGTTGGTTTAATAGAAATTAAAATAGAATGGTTAGAAAGTACAGGATATGTGCACTTTTATCGTTAAGCTGGATGACAGTACATTTCCTGTTATTTTTTGTTTGATTGTTGTTTAATTGTATCTGTATTTTTAGGTCTTATATGCCATTGATTTTTTCCAAATATGTCGATAATTGAAATATATTTCTAGGTCATATATGCCATTGATTTTTAGGATATATATAGTAGTTCCTACGTGCTTCAAATATATTTCTCAAGATTTTGTCCTTCTGTGGATAATTGAAACTCTTTCACTGCTTGATACAGGTGCACAAACATTTCCAAATGCTAGTTTTTGATGGGTCAATGTGAAAGATGTTGCAAATGCCCATATTCTGGCGTACGAGAATGCTGCTTCTTTGGTTGAGAGAGTAGTCCACTACTCAGAACTGGTGAAGATTTTATGTAACCAGTGCCCTACGTTGCAACTCCCAGAAAAGGAAGATTAATAATTTCAGCAACTTAAAGATTGCATATAATTTATGCCCCTGTATGAATGCAAATTATCATCTGATGTACCTTATTCTTTTTAAAGCTCTATTTACCTGTTTGAAACTCAATTCAGTGCTACATATGAAAAGATTCAGTCCTCATTGATATCCGATTCAAGGTTGTTTATTTAATGCAGACACGAAAAGGTAAATTAGCGAGAGAAAAAAATGTACAAGACATTCAACAAATGAGAGAATATCTCAGAATAAGGAAAAAAATAAGAAATTAGGGAAAGTATATTAATTTTAGACTATATTATATGCATCCAATTTCGAATGTATAATTAATTTTAGATCTCGATCAAGAGTTGGTGAATATTCATCGGCTAACTGAGCATATCCAGGGAATACTTCGTTTTGTATGACATTTAAACTCAACCTGAATGGCATGATGATTTGCACCTTCCTTTATTTCCATGTCTTGTGTTGATTAATTGTTATTTAAAATTGGTAATTTGTATTGAATTTTTCATTTGAGATTTATTTA